GAGACTCTATCACAGTTTGGCATGCACTGGCCGAAATGTGTAAACCTTACTCCAAATGACATGTGATTCCTTCATCTAATTGCACTTTGATTAGGTGTATAAGGCATGCTGCCCTAATTGGCAGTGACAGAAATTGATATTGCTAATGAAAAGCATTTGCGGTTTGCGGTCGGACGGACATGCATTTCGTTACACCAAGAGTTGTGGTTGCCATTCAAACTCTTAAATCAATGGTTATTATTTTGAAATTGGTGGAACAAAACTGGATGTAGATAAAGTAAAATACAACAATTGCAGCTGTTTTGTGTGATAAATGTGCTCTAGTTGCTTTAAGTATTGTTTATTCGGCTGTGTGATGTTCTCAGTGCAAGTGCAAGTGCAAGGATTATAAAAGTCACGTAGACTAGTCGTAGGTGCAAGGATCACACACATACTCGTGCACTCAGTCCCACACACAATTGCCTAGGGCGTTGAATTCCGTTTTAAATGCGCTCAAATGCGCAAATAAATTTAAGAGGTGATGCTCCATTGCCACGCCCACTTTATCATCGCTGTGTCTGTGTGCCTTCCACTAAGCCGATTTAGCTGTATGGGTGTATGGTTTACAGCCCATTGACGGTTAACTCTTACAATTCGCACTTGAAGGATTTCGGGATTTCGGCAGGACGAAGTCGCGTTTTGTCGTGCGATCTCCGCACACAAGGTCCTTAATCCGAAGGACATCATTCCAGCAAATGCTTTTAGTGGCAGCTAAGCTCCCAAACTATTCGCGCAAGCATGGCCAAATTTTATTTTTTTATTTTCACATATTTCAGCGATGCCCAAACATGCAAGTAAATCAATTGGAAAGGCATGCTCATAAACACATATTTAAGTGTTTTGCAGACGCCGAGTAGCCCAAGAATAAACAATTGTGTAACCTTTGAGCTTCTGCATAATATTGATTTATTACGTTTTGAACATAAATAAACTTTAAAGCACACACAAATAGATGCCATTCTTCTTCAGCCGTCTTACATCATTTTAAAGCGTACACAGATTCGTTGATTTATTTCGATTTTATACCTTTAATTAAACATGTTTTTGTTATTGACTTCCACGACTGTCACAGCGAAATGTCCAAGGTAGATGTCTAGTTAATATTTTATGGCTAGAGGCTTCCGTTGGAAAATCACTTCCGGTTCCACAGTTTTTTTTTGTACATTTTTGTAAAGCGTTTTTCATGCCGCTTGCCGATTATCAGACTGCATGGTCGTCAAACATTTGAAACATTTCCCCACTGACGTCAATCGGTGGATTCCCTTCACTTTCGGCTGATTATAAATAAACTTTGCATGGGTCGGTCTCGGTGCACACTTACTTTCAAAGTTTTTTTTTGTTTTCTTTTTTTTTTTTTGTATAAAAAATGCCAAAAACAAACTATATAATTGATTTATTGTTTCAGCAACATCCCTTATGTGCCCCGTAATTCCCCGCCGGCTGTTTTTATGCGATTTCGTTCGCTGATGCCAATAAATTGTTTTTCACATGTATTCAATTCAGCGTTAAATGCACGCAAGAAGGGAAAACCACTTGTTTTTCCTTGGGATCAACGGCCGAAACACGATTTTCATGGGCTTATTGGTGATAGTAATCTTTTACTACTCTGTTTCAAAATATTCGAAAATGGTAATTCTTTTCCCCAAAGTGAAATTGCCTGATTAATCTAAATGCATGAGTGCAACTATAAAAGCAGCCTATGTTTACATCTATTATTATAAAAATCGAAATGAATGTAGCTAATTTGAAAATTTGAATGTGTTGTATGATTTCGAGACGGTATTTGGTTCGCTTTCTGAACGCCGAGAGCCTCAAATTTTCACGATTTTCACATGGTGCAAAAGCGAATACAATTTGATTTTAATTGAAGGTCAGGGGAAAATAAGGGGTGCACATAAATAAGAATTACACAATAAAGTAATTAATAAATGTGCATTTTTAGATGCATCGCTTTTTGTTCCTGCAATGCAATGAAGGGCAGATATTAATTGGTTTCCCCCTGTTTTTCAGGGTTACATTTCAATCACATTTTTTTTTCGCCAACAAAGCGTGGAATTTTCCACAATCTGCCACGCCCCCAGCCCCCCCATTTTTTTCACTTGGCGCCCCATAAGCCCGTAACATCAGAAAGCTCAGCTGAGCTAAACGCGAAGCCAAGAGTGATTAATTAGTTGGCCTGGAAACGGATTCACTTGCATTTATGTAACAATTGACAATTGACACACGCGACAATTATGACTCGGAAACTGACTGGTTTGGTTGGCATTGTGACAAGTGCGCAAAAGTGAAAGTGTGAAAGTATCTGCTCCAGAAAGCTGTGATTCTACGAAAACTTGCCACTTGAAGCGGACTTATTCAATCAATCTTGCAGGCCCTGAAAGGCTAATTGATACCTTTGAACTGCTCAGCTCTCAACTCCTTTTCCAAAATCTCGTGGCTTCTTCAATATAATTTCAACACGCTGCTTCAGTCGAGTTCAGTGAAATACTACACTACGGTATGTTCGATTTCCGTAGTCATAGTAAATGCAAAGTGAAGAAATACGTATTTCAAAATGATTTGAGCAAGAAATTAAATTGCACTATGGTGATCATGGAAATATATCTAAATAAATTAATACTAAATAAATAAGTCTCAGACTTTTTGTTATCTGATCTGAATATCAATTATAATAGGTTTTTTTTCTTACTAAAAATAGTATTTTTTCCAGTGTTATCTATGACCGCAAAGATGGGCAGAAAATACAGGAATTGTTTTGTTAATGACCCAATCTCTCCTCGCTCTGCGATTATATTGAACGTTGGCGTGTAAGTGGCTTATGGGCTAGGGTACCAAGGCAAGGACTTAAAATTAGATGAAGAGCGCTTAGCATAGTGCCGCCCTTTACCGCTTTTCTGGGCCATCGTCCACCCCGCTGGGGTATTACTGTACCGCCCGTGGACGGCGGTCGGGAATCGCTAGCCGAAATAGACCCATTTGTTTACGCTTGCCTCTTTTGTTTAGACACTTGCGCTGGCAAACTCGCAGCTGATAAACAAATTTTCGACGCTGCCACTATTTGCACATTACGCATACGACACCGAGCGCATCCGAGCTCCATAGCCCAAAAACACAAATCCCACCGAAAATCGCCTTCGCATCCGCGTTCAAACATTTCACTGTGCCTCGACACATTCCGCACTTGTCTCCCGAATACAAAAAAAAAAGACAAACAATTGACACAGTTCCAGGGAAAGAAGGAACTATTGTCATGCGAAAATGGCGGCGGGAAATGGGAAATGGGCGAAGCACTTGACAGTCGAGGAAAAGGGTTGTAGCACTGCGAAAATTCCTGGAAAAGTCCATCTTCTCACAATAAATCGCGTCATTTAAGCGTTCAACTGATTGCTGTGCTTAAGACTGGGGTTTGTCATGATTCCGAACTGCAAGGTAATGAAATGAAAATTACATAACGTAATCTTCTTATTCGCTCAAAACTTATTTAAACTTTCAAAAATAGTTGCATTAGCGATTTAATTTCGCCGTGCGCTCAAGGTGCACCACAAAACTTTACCTGCGGCTTATAAGTTGGAAGCAGTCTGAAGGCCTTGCAAACTTGCAATTTAATTGACTCAACAATTTGGTAACTTTCGGCCCCGCCTTTCTCGTAGTGCAACAAACTGGTGAAGTGGACAGATGTGGTCGAGATGGGTTGGCTGTGCCGCAAGTGGCACAATTTGATTACAAGAACGTTTAAGTTGGCCACAGGATGCCGGTACCGATAATGAGGTGGGCATGAGGTTGCACACGGACAGGTGCTCCCGTCGGGAATCCCCAACAACCCAACCCCCAACCCCCAAGCCCAATCTCTACCTCCCACCTCAGTTTTACCAGTTCATTAGAGAGCGAGTCAAGGACATTTAAAGTCTCCTCCACGGCACACAAAAACACTTCACGCGGCACTTTGGACAATGCTAACGAGCTCCCACCTCTCGTCCTCATATAGATGTACATGCTGTGGGTCCTATATACGAGTACTATACTCGTATATGTAGCAGTGCACACTCTTCAAATATAAATACTAAATGTAGTTTGCTTCGGTTCATGTGCAAGATACAAAGATGCAAAGATGCAAAGATGCGGAGATGCAGAGAATGCATCGCCAAGTTTCGGAGAAAACGTGAAAATGGAGTGGCGGACAGCTTGTTTAGCACACAATAACGAAGTTATTTCAAAGATATGACAAGTGTAAACACTTCGACCGCGTGCGATTTGATATAGATAGATAGATATGTCAGTAGGAGTAGTGGGATCTGTTCCGCTTGGGTTCATAAATATTTATCCCAGATTGTGGCAGGTGCACAGCTTCCATTTGCGCAACCCATTTGCAGAATGCGCAACAAGCTCGAAAATATCCGAATATGTGGGAATATAATTGGGTTCATTTGAGCTCTATATATGCTTCATCACATAATTCAACCTAATAAACTTTACAGTTTGAGATCAAGTGAATGGCACTTTAACTCTTCAACAAATGCTTGCGAAAAGAATAGAGCTAATTAAAGCAAGAGTTATTTTCAGTTTTGCACAAAATATCGCTGAGCTTGCAAAATTTGAGTATGTAACATTGTAAGGTTACTGCTTTTCATTTGGACCTAAATATAGTGACAAAGTGTTTTGTTTATAATTCGCATTTACTTTTGAATATATAGACTCTGCAAATATTGGTAATAATTAAGTAAATAATAGGATCTCACACCGCCAACTGATATGATAATTTTCCACAATTATATCATTGGGCTTTATGAGTTCGTAATGAAGCCGTTTCGGCCAAGATTAAAGCAAACAATCCGGCCAAATAATGAATGAATATAAAAAAGGCCGGCAACCAGCGCACAAATAGAAGTGTTTTTTTTTTATCATCAAATGGCATTTAACCCGCTGAAAGTTGAAAGCTTGTTTGTTAACCAATTAACACTCACCCGCCGGTTTCGCTGCTGCTACTGCTGTTGGTATTATTTTTGGGTTCCGGACTCGATTCAAATGTGTGTTGTATTTTCTTGCAGTTTTCGAGTGTTTTTAGCGCTTAAACATTGTGTTGTGTTGTTTTAATTTTTTGTATTATTTATTGATTTTCAAACACGCGTTGAAAGCACAGCAAAAAAAATATGTGGGAGTATGAACTTGAAAAACGTTTTCGAAAGCGGATTGAAATTAATTGGGAAATTGCCTCTGCTAATTTTTTGCTGGAAAAGCGAAACGAACGCCACGAGTGCCGAAGCCGTTATGACAGAATCTGGCTAGCAGCCGAGCAACTTATCCTTAACGGAAAAGCGGAAAATGCCGAGCGGAAAAGCCAATGCCCGAACGCCACTCGGCTTCGGCTTTCGGTCACTTTTTCTCAGTGTGTGCAAGTGCAGGGAAAATCGGGAAAATCTTTCGCTCTTTCCTCCTCTCTTTTTGCACTGCAAGTTTCACTGTTGTTTGTTTGCCTGTTTCTGTTTCGGTTTGTTTACTGTTTACTGTTACTGCTGCCTCTGTCGCTTTTCCCGCTTTTGCCGCCTTTCCCGCTTTTTCCGCTTTGCCTGGCCGTGAAAAAAGAGTGAAACTAAATCTCCGCTGGCGGCAAGAAACACGCCCAAAGTAACAGCTATTTACACCAAATAAGACAACAAACCGAAGAAAGCGACACTTCCGCTTCTGCAACACGCATTCCCAAATCCTAAAAAAAGTTAGCAGCACATTGCTAGGCGTTACCTAATTATGTAAAATCTTTTAAGAGCAATAAGCACTTTAGTCGCAGTTGTCGCGGATTTCCAACCGTTTTGGCCAGGTTGTCTGAATTTCGAATTCCCATGACAATCTCCAACGTAATGATGATTGACGTGGCAAACGAGTTGAGAGGAGAGTGTGACACCGAATGATGGATGCTCTGAAAGGGATTTATGGCACTGACACGCGTCGTGACACGCCAGCCGAACGGATTTATTAGGCGCCACAGTGTAGGCCACTCATGCCTGTGGCGCTGAGAAGTAGGCAACACTTGGCGCCGGCATACAGCGGCGCTCAAAATAGTGGCACCAAGTGCGTTGCCCATCAAAATACTCGACATGCAGTTTGACCAAGAACTTGAGCCGCTTCATTCAGGGGACTGGTGTGGCGCCGACTGTGGCTGCAGCTGCAACTGCTACATGCAGCATGCTGCTTGCTGCATGATGCACCGGTGCAACTGATGCAACTGCTGGCGAAGCACGTGACCAGGTCGGCAAAAGCGGCCCATATGAATGCGGCTATATATAGACATATGTGCGCCCCGAATCGCTGGCAACAGCAAAAAGAAATGCGATTCGCCCACGTTGACGCACCGCGGCAGCAACTGTTGCAGGCACGCAGCAACATTTGGCTGCACAGCAGCAACAACAGCAGCAGCAAAGACGTCGACAACTTTGGCCTAGTCACGTTTTGATTTGCTTTCGCATTCGTTTATATTTTTGCTCCTTTGGTTTCGCTTCATTTGGCATGAGTTGCCTTGTGTTCACCGGACCGCCAAAGTATTCATACGAATGGTATTCTGTTGTGTACAGGGTAATCTGGCTGCGACTCCTTGTCGCTGCAGTTGCAGCCCTAGTACTTGCTTTTCAATTTGCACTCGACAAACGAAAGATGCACAAAAAAGCTGGAGAAAAATTGTGGCAATACTGTGCCAGCATCGGCCGGCTGTGTTTAATTATAGTCACTGACTAGCGGGATGAATGACTACTGACTAGCTCACTGACCGACTGGCTGACTGACTGACTGACTGACTGACTGACTGACTGACTGGCTGACTGACTGACTGACTGGCTAACCCACTTCGCATGTAATGCGGTCAAATGCAACGTTCATAAATCAAATGCCGCCCCACACAGACACTCGCATATGGACACTGGTGTTTGTTTGGGCCAAACAAAAAGTGTGCAGAATTCATAAATCAGGCAAAAGCACTCGAAGGGCCAGCAGATGTTTACCCAGCTCAGATGAAGTTTATTCTGCGAGATCGTAAATGGGACAAAGTATGGCAAATCGATATACATATGTACGAGTCTGAGGCAGCACTTGTTAAATGCAATTAAATGTTTTGGGCAGCCAGTTTTAGAAGGCGAAATCGTGGCGAGTATTACTAGACTACAATTACTGGCGCACAACTGTCCCTGAACTTCGGCACCTATAATTCCGATTAGGCGTCTAATCTGTTTCCCGCTTGCCCGCCAAACTCTGTAATCTTACGGAATGGGATTTGCGGACTGGGATTTGAACTTGGCACGTCCGACGATCAAGCGGCGTTGACAGGCGACCGGCGACTGGGGGCGAAATCGGAACTGCAACTTGTCTCGAGTATCAGCCGCAGCTATTTACTTACTATATTAAATGAGCTATAGGCTCTTTGCTCCGTACATGCAGTCTCATAATGAGCGGCTAAAGCGGCTTTCAAAGGTGGGGATCATAAGGAAATGCACAACAACAGAAAACAGGTGGCAAGATGTAGAGGGGCCAGGCGGTGGGGCAAGCCAGTGAAAGGGAAGGAGAGGGGTGAACAATGCTAATGAGCACAAAAGATGCAACAAATGCGGAATTTAAAACACAGCGGCCACACCTGCGAGTGCAATATAAATTTAAATGTGCGGCAGCAACACCTGGAGAAAGCCCCTCCCCATTCTGCCACAAATTGAGGCATATGATGCCTCCTAGCGCCTAAGTGGCACAAGAGTAGCCGGTAGAATAGGAATGCCAGCACCAGGAAGAGCACCATTAACGGCAATAGTTAGGGATGCAACTAATTGGAGCATGTGGCAGGGGCCTCCGACTTGCAACAGGTGGCAAGTACAGGCACAAAGGGCCGCCACAACGGCAAAAATGTTAAACCACTTGCAACGGCGAAAGTAACGACAACTGCCATTGGTTTTATGAGCAACCAATTCGAAGCGAAAACAAAAGCCGCAACAAAATGTACTTGTATGTATATAAACCGACACAAAGCCACCGCAACAACACTGTATCAAATTATAGAATATGCGAGCATATATATATATATATATATATATATATACTAGGTATATGTACCTAGGGGGGAATAAAGCAGAATTGCCACTGCAACTTGTGTTCCACGGAATTTCGCAGTATGCGGAGGCATAAATTAAGGCAATGCGAAGAGCGAAACGTAAAAATTAAATCAGCATGAGGAGAAATGCGAAAATGTCAAAGGAAAAGGAAAATTGCCGCGATCTCTCTACGCGATGGAAAACAGAACTGGAAAATACCCTAGAAGTGGAAAATACCTAGTACCGCGTTTCACTTTGAAGATCAGCAAGATTGTAATAAATCCGTGATCTTGATTTGGTAAAAAGTGTATTGGAGGACAAAAAAAATTGAGGGCGACTTGATTTGACATTTAATTTTCGCAATCTTGATGATGGATTTCGCCGCCAAGACGAAGGAAATGCAAGTACGGTGAGGTGGGTGGTGCTGGGTGGAAAAACAAAAGGCAAAAGCGCAGCTGATGACATCCGCCCCCCACCCAAAATACCCCCCCCCACCAGTCGACTGGAAAACTAAAGTAACGTTGTTGTTATTTTGAATGGAGCAAAACGCTTGCGTGCATTATAATAATCAGAATCTCTTGTCTTCTTCCTCTGGCCTGTCAACGCAGCTATCATCTTCATCGCACACTGGCAGAAATTAATTGCTATGTTACACTCTCAATATATATACTCAATATGTGCATGTATATCTAATAGATTTCAGCAGATGTCGCAGATTTCTTTGCAAATATATACTCTTGCAACTTATGCAAGTTCAAGATGGCATTATTTTGTTGCGCTCTTTTTTATTTCGACCGTTTTTCGCACAGCTTTATGCTGATTTTAAATTTTAAGTGCCACTCGTCGTCACCTGGACGAGTGGAATTTTCAGGTGTGGTGGGGGGGTGCAGGGGGGATTTTCCGGGCAGGAGTGCCGCAGGTGGCAGAATGGCCCTATTCCACGTTTTGTTTGCCTTGAATGCTTCCCTTTTTGTCCATTTGAAAGGAGAATAAAAGGAAGGAATAACGAAAATACGGAGAAAAACTTGTGCAAATGAAGCGTTAAATTGACTGGAGTACTGAAGGCGAGGCGAGGAAAATGGGAAAATTCGTCCTGCAACAAAATACAAGTAGGTTGCTGCACAGCATTGCCATTGACGTCTCTAATTGATCGAAACACGCCGACTGCCCATGAACTCGAATGCGCTGAATGCAATTACTTTATTGTCTCGGCCATCGCGAATATTTACCTATTTGACATCGGCCAAAAAAAATTTCATTTCATTTCATCTTTGTGTGTTCTTACATCTGTCAGGGCCATCTGGGCATTTTAGTTTCCGAAAATTGTATCTTATTCAACGGAACATTCATGCGGAACTTTCTCAGCACCTTTTCCATTTCGCAGTTCCAGGGCATTTTTCGCAATTTTTATGCTTAACGAGTGGCTCAGTTCTTTGAGGTACCCATCATTTGGGCTTTTTTGAAGGGGTATCTGGACTTCTCCACTTGATTTGCTGGACAGTTTCAGTTTGATATTGATGCATTCTTAGGTTATCTTGGCACTTTATTGAAAACTTATTTTTGTAAATATCGATTGTGGGTCCAAGCAACTTTGCGAATGACATCTAAGGGGTATGCAAAGTGCTTCGATTTAGCGTGAAAGTCTTTGCCGTTCAGACTTGCAGGCCATATATATTTTTTTTTATGACTGTCAGTTGTGCCGCGTTTGGCAACAAAATTTGTATAAACGAAGCGCCGACAGGGAGAAAAATCAATTTTTTATTGCCCTGTTGCTTCAGTTGGCCGCTGCGCTGGTTTTGTTTAGATTTTTCTTCAGATTTATTAGCAGGCAGCAAAAGCAGCGCTTTTTTCTCAGCGTTTTATTACTGCTGGTTGGCTCAAGCTAAGTTGACAAGTGCCGCAGTTTGCACACAGAAAAAAATCGGTGTCTAATACCGGAAATTTCAACGAAAAAATGTTGATTAAATATCAAGAATGTTGTGAAATAGAAAATATCTCAGTGCTTAAAAGCAGCAATAATAACATGATTTGGAAATATGATTTAGTGTGCTAGGTAACTCCAAATGTTTTCAGTGGATGGAACAATTCAGAAGATGGGCTGTGGGCGTGGCCCAGGTGCCCAGTGAAGGAATCTATTTGCCTTTTGATTGCCTTTTAATTACTGAGCAGCAAATAAACATAAACAATGGCGTTTGGCGAAAAATGGAAGATCCGTATTTAGATGGCGAAGAGCACATGCATATAAAACGAAACGAAAACAGACCCAAAAATATTAATGATTAAACTCTAGACCAGCAATCGGGAAAAAAAATGAGCAACAGCCTGCCTTGTCTTTGTTTTTCTCGTTTTCTATCTTTTTATCTTTTCCATCTTTTATCTTTGAAAATCGCTGCGAAGTTGGGACACTAATTGAATCCAATTCATTGGCAATGCCTTTGTAAATCGAAAGTCGCCAGTTGGCAGCTGGAATGTTTGCTGCTAAATTCCAAAAGCCCCTCAAAATAAAAAATACAAGCCGGGCTGATAAATTAATCATTAAAGTTGTGCTACCAACTGGTGAACGCCTTTGATGGCAAATCCGACGTTTGGTTTATGGTTTATTAATAGATCGGGACCACGACGAGCTGGCCAGGTGAACGGTGCTCAGCGGATCAGGGATCGGGATTATTACCACCTGAAGGCCTGAAGGAGCCAAATCATTTCCAGACGACGTTTAATTGCTGAATAGACCGTGCCCCTCACAGAATAGACTCTTTGTGTTATCTGCAAATCCTCCCTGGGCTTTTAACTTTCGCCGCCGTCCTTTTGGCAGCCTTGCGCCTTTACCGCCCCCCTCCCCCCTGAAAAGTCGCACAGAAGGAGGTCAATTTAATTAATGTGAAATGCGTAAGGCGGATTGAAACGAAATTACATTTCAGTGCCACAAAAAGTATCTTCGCATGCGTATTGATAAGCGCCTGGCGCAATTAAGCTAAAAGCTCCAGTCAAAGGTATTGCCAAAAACTTTGTGAAAGCCGGCCAAACAATTAGCAACAAATGCCTCCTTGGTAACACAGCTGACGAGATGTGAGACCCTTTCTGCAGCAGAACACACACCGTCTACCCGACAATTACACAACAATCGGGTTCACATTATGGGGGCTGTGTGTGCCAGCTGCCTTTTATGCCCAGTTCCCCAGTCTAACACCGAAGGTTGGCTCCTTCTTATGCAAGCTGCAGTTTTCAACTGTTGTTACCTGCCACTTGTTGGGCTTTCCGGTGCGGTGGGGTGGTGGAAACTGTTCGTGGGGTTTTCGCGTAACCGACTTTCCTTGAAATTGGCTTAAACGCATCTACGTCTGTCGATTTGGCGAGTGGGTGGGGTTAGCTTGTTGAATGGAAAAGATAGCTTCACAATGCTCTCGAACTTCGGCTGTATGTCAGTTGCAGGTGCTCCCACTGGCCAGAAGAACACAGCAAATAAACTATGCACACCTATGGTTACATAGTTTTTACTGGCAATCATTCGCCAGTCACTAGATGTTTAATGTTACTGAATGACAGCGTTCTCTATGTGAACAAAGAAATCCTTGGAATATCGCATATACGCGATGATACATCACCAGCCACACTGGGCGTATGAGTTATATTTGCAAACATTACTCTTAGTTTGCTGCCCAATAGGCTATTTCCATAGTTATTTGCGCTTTTACTGTTTCATTGATGTTTGGTTTGCTTCCCTTCTATCATAGAAAATAATTAAACAGCCGTGGTGGCTATTTTTACCCGGCATAAGAATAGAAAGCAGCGCTGTGGCTTGAAAGTATTCACGACAACAATTAGTTTTCAATTACAAAATGTCGTCCTAGTGTAATTCACTGCCACATTTTAGCCACCCATTTGCGTATGCAAAAGCCAACAAGTTGCCATTGCGAAACACGTGACTGGGCCGGAAAATGGGGAAGGCGAGTATTTAGCGTAAAAGTCGGTAACGGAAACCAAAAATGTGCTTGGAAAATGGAAAAGTGAGTGCAAAAACGAGGGCGGAATGTAAATGGGACTGAGAAATCATCATCCTTTGCAAAGGGATAAATGCAAACTGACCCTTCAGTTCATTATTAAGCTCTTCAAAAGCAATGATTTTTCCTTATGGCCATATCTCTTTTTTTTTTTTTTTTTTTTTTTTTTGAGTACTAACAACCAATGCAACAAGTTGTTGAGATCCTGGAAGACAACTATTTCATTATTTCCTTTCGGATATTAGAGTCGCCACTTTATCTGTGATTAAATAAGGACGGCTTGCTGTTTTCTAATCGCATTTCAGATTCAGTTTTGTGACTATTCGTATATTATTTAGAAATCGTATACTTTTGGTGGCCAACGCTTTATGAAAGCTTTTAAAAACGACCTTTGTTGACTTGGCTAAAAGCTTCCGTGCAATGATTCTCAAACTGTAGCTAGCTTTCGATTCGAAATGTGGCTAACAGAATTGTGTACTCACCACTCGACTGTGGTGTGTTCGCTAAGTTAAAAATATTTTTTTTTTAGTTTTTTTTTCTCACCGTTGATAACCTTTATAGGTTACGGACTTAATTTGATAATTCAAATTGTTTCAGCACTTGTTCCAATTTCGATGTGATAACATTTGACTCCCAAAATTGTATGAAATGCTCCAAAAAGCCACACATGTCTAAACATTAAATGATTGGCAGCACTCGAAAAAACAAGTGTTACGAAAGTCGTACAGAAACCATTATATTTAAATTGAAGAATATCCATGTGTTTAAAGAAATTAAAATAAAACTCGTGCACTTTCTTAATCAATTGTGTAATATTCTCATATCTTTGGACGTAATCCATAAATTGTAAACGTAAACAAAGGTCTTTATTTTGCGCATATTTATGTGCCAATGCAGCTAAATTCTTCAAGTGTATCCAGACCATTGCCATTATACTGAACGGTGTATTCAAAAATATTGTGCTTGTATTTTTAGTTCCTTTTCTTATCTGCGAACGGAAGCTGGTGACATTTGCAAGGGTACACTATTTTAATAATTTACATTAAGAATTAGCCAAGGCAAAAAGAGGGGCTAAATGGGGAAACGAACCTGGTGGGGAGGAGGGAATGGGCCAATTATTCCGGGAGATGGGGCCGTACAAAATCGCAACGTGTCCATTGGTCCTCCATGTGGGGCGTCGGCATCCAAGTCCGGTAAATTATTCTTACGCATGCGTCATTTTCGGATGTCATTGGGTCAGGCGCCAATGGGAAGCCGGCTTTTTTGGGGGTGGCGGTGGGGGGAGATGTGGGCTGAAGGTCACGGATTGTGACAGGTGCAGGCCATGACCTATGGCCAGTTCACAACCGACTTAACCGACTTTCATTGCGTTGAATATCAAAATAGTGCTTTGTTCAATTTTAGCCCAAATATGCCCATTCAGATGATTTGCTCATATGCGCTGAATAATGCACCAAGAATTGCTCGTAAAAAAAGTATTCTGATAAACAGAAAGTAGAAGCTATAAAGTCTGTAATTTCTGTTATATTTTCTTACTTGGTATTCAGGATTAATCACATGTGTTTTTAAAGTGTTCGTTTTGAAATTCCGCAAAACTCATTTCATTTTACTCTCTTTTCTTCGAGTGCCAAATTCAAAGAACTTCCAGGAAAAAGTGCGAGCAGAGCGCTGCTTTTCGTGGGAGTGAGTGGAATGGGATAATTTGCAAACCGGCTGATGCAACTACAATGGAAGATGAAAAGAGAGCAAGGAGCAACGGTTTTCACTTGCTTATCAGTTGACCCAGAGTGCGAGAGGCCCAGGGGCGGATGCTGAGTGCAAATTTGGGGGGTTTACTATTCCAGTAGTGTGATAGTTACTCACTTTTATCTTTAAATTGAGACTACGCTCCGCGCATAAGGATGATCAGAGCGAAGGGAGAGAGGGGGGAGGGGAGAGAGAGAGAGCAGGCGCGGCTAACTCTGCGTAAGCGGACACCCACGCATGTGAGCGAGAGGGACAGTGGGAGATTGAGAGGGAGAGAGAGTGAAAGAGCGTGTATCGGCGCAACAGGCTTGCAATGGCCTGGCCATTAAGTGCCGTTAAACAATAACAAGAGCACGCAAATCGCTTCGGCTTCGTCGCGCATTCGGCCTTCGTGCGTCTTCGGGCGACGCCGGCAGAGCAGAGGCAGCGATGGGAATCGCAGCAACGGTTCTTAGACATTAGGTTGCGCGCCATCGTCCCAGGCGGTCGCACATTCCACGGTGTGCTGTCCCTTTGTTTTCTGTGTGACTCTGACTCTCTTGTGGAGCGTTTGCCTTTTTTTTTTTTGAGTGCTCTCACATCCTCGAAGTGCCGAAAATTTTGAAAATCCCCGAGAAGATATCCTGGTGATATCCGTTCAACGTTTAAACAAAAACCCAAGCCCTGCGCTCCTTTTTTTTTTCCTTGAATTAACTAGTGTGATCCCAAAAAGGAACCCACACTCGCAATAAATTGTGTCCTGTCCCTCGCGTGTGAAACGAAACTAAAGAAAGAAACAAGAAAATGAATAAAACAAAGCGAAGAGGCGGAAAAGCGAACAGAAAGAGGGGAAACAAACAAAACGGCTCGGCCAGGAGTGAATAGATGATCAAAGGGGATCGTTCGGATTTTTCGAGGAAACTTCTGAAACATAACGGTTTCGGGTGTTTTTTTTTGGATTTGGTTTCACCAAAAGCCAACACTTTTTTGCTGATGTGTTCACCGATTTGTTTCCCCTTTTTCCGTGCGCTGAGAAAAAAATCCCCAGAAACCTAATATCAGGATGCTCTCTGTCTCCCTGTCTCTGTCTCACGGCAAATTGTTGCTTAATTGCGAATTAATGTCGGGGCTTTTTTTCTCCGTGCAGTGCCATAGCCGTAACCACAACCTGCCGACCGTTTAAAGCCAAACCAAAAAAAAAAACGAACCGAAACTGCCTTCACAAAGTACCTAAACCAAACTTAAATAGCTGCCAAAAGGAACCAAAACCGCCGTTTCCCCGGAAAAGAGATGATGGGATCGCCGGGATCCCAAGCGTCCGCGATCGCGACCTCGGTCGGAATCAAAAGCGGACGGAGAGGTCAAGCGGGGTCGCTGCTCCTGCGCCTCCTTGCCGTGTCCTTCGTCCTTGCCGCCTGCCACGCGCCGCTGACAAGTGCCAAGGTGAGTTCATTCGATCCTCTTGCATTTCATTATATTATACTAATTGAGGCCCAGGAATGCGGTGAACGTAATTGGTATTATTGGGTGACATTATCCCATTCACATGACCATTACCATTGCCAGCAGCTCATCCACAATCAATTTGGGATTTGGGTAACCCAATGATCTCTTATTTCCAATGACCCAACTCGGTCCAGCGACGAACTTGAACTATTTAGCATGACACACATATTGTTTTCGAGCGCCCAGTGATTAGCATAAAAATGTTCATATAGATTCCCCCGAGGGTATTTATATTAAGTGGTTTTGAAATTAGTTTTCCTCCATCCGCCATTAAATTAGGAAGTGAACCGCCTTTGAGCCCCTCTGTTAAGACAATGTTAAGGACCGGATTTTGAGTTGAGCTGAGGCCAAAAAAATAGATCATCAAGTCCATTGGGCCGGGGTCATCAACGGGGGTTATCATTCTCTTGAAAAACAGACGCTGTATTAATTTCTTTTTCCAAATTCGGATCGAGTTCAGCTGCGACTTTTGAATGATGCGATTGTGTTCGGACGTCTTTGCCAATTATTATGAGAAGTCGATTGTTCCAGTTCCAAATTCTATCTTTGTCTATGGAGGAGGGGTCCGTGTGTGTGCGTGTTTCTGTGTGTGTATTTTCCAACATAATGAGCGGCGATGATAACGCGTTATCAGCGTGTTAATGACATGTTGCCCACAGACGTTTGTTTGCAATGAAATAATTTCTTTAATTAACATTTCAAATCGCTGAACGTTTGCTTGTGAATCAAGAGGTCCCATTTCCGATCTCGGTGGCTTTGTGGACAACAGTACCTGCTGGACATTTCTGGTGCTCTGGTGCCCTGGTGCTTTGGTGCTCTGGTGCTCCATTTCATCGACTGTCGTTTGCCTTCGAATTGTTTTGCTGCAGCGCGCACACTTTTTATCACATCGGAAGTTGCGTAAATGAGGCCAAATTTGAACACATGTACACATACATACGTCTATGTCGCCTGCTCAGGGCTTATCGGTGGACTGGGACTGGGATGGGAATGGAAGTGGAAATGAAAGTGGGAATGGGAGCCGCAGTCTGAAGAAGGAACCACTGCAAATCGGACTGCAAACGAGGTCACTGCTGCAGCTCGATAGCTCCATCCTGCGCTTTTGCCCATCCGGCGTATGCGTATTGCCGGTCATCGGACATTGCGCATACGATCAGGTGGCACCGGTCTCGTTTATCATGGGTTTTATCCGTTTCACATTGATAGCTGAACTTGAGGGAAGCACAAATATCACTTATCAATACAAATTTTGCAGTCCATACGTTATGTCATCATTCTGTGGGCCATTTTAAGCCTTTAAATGGCTCATTTCTTTGCAAATGTGCAACTCGTCACAATTGCAACCATTAAGTCTATAAATGGCTAACTTTTGGCAAATGTGCAACTCGTCACAATTCCTTCCATGCCATATGGAATCTGCTTAAAATGATATTCGCCTGGCAACCGAATTGAGCTCTTGTGTTTGCATCGACAGATGGGTCCCCCATAAGATGGCCCTTTTCCGGCTTTACAAGGGTACCCGATCCCCCTTCCGTGGCCCGTTGGCTTGTATCGCTCAACACTTCGCGCCGATGTGTGCCCCGATATCTGTCAAACAAACTGTCAAAATATTTGCATCATCAACAACAACTGCGAAGCAAATAAGATGAAAAAATTAAAGCATCCAAGATCCGACCAAAACGGCAGCCAACAGATGAGAAAATATCATTTCGCAGCTTTTTTGACTTGGCCGCATCGTTTTGGTTTCTCTTTCAGCTTTTGGGATTATGTTTTCTTTGTGTTTTTTTTTTAATGTTTTTTTGTTTTTCTTTTCGTTTTTTCATTGGTCTGAAGATGCGTTCGTTGGCACATTCCCTTCGGTTCAGTTCGTTCTCCTTGTATTCAGTTTTCTGGTTTTCTTGCTTTCTGGCTTTCTTGTTTTCGTGGCTTCACGGTTTCTGTTTCTGTTTCGATTGTTTGTTTGTGCAACATGTGGACACAAGATGTTGTACCCCCGATCACACATGTGACCGGCTGCTTGCTTGTGTATCTGCCAAGCTGGAATCTGCCCTATTGAATCACTGCGAAATTGGCTTTTAGGTGAAAAATGGTGCGATCACTCGATTTGAATATGAACTAATAATTTCAATTAAGTTCCATTTGCCATATTAAATGGTTTTCCGTGGAAGATATGTAACATTTCTATACACCCCACCCACTATTCCTGTGTACCGAAAACATTCGCATAGCGATCACATGCAGTTTCATGGGAAGAGTCATGCGCGCATTTGTTTAAATAATACACTGGGGCTGCCTAACGCATTCTGCCCCTTTTCCCACCCCTTTCCCTTCCCCAACCACCACTTGAGCTCAAGTTCAGACATTGACCAAGGGGCGGCGACTCGATAAGGGGGCGGGGTCGCCGGCAGGGACAACTGGCACACTTAAAACTGTGTATACGAGATGTGCGAGGTGCTAGGTGCGAGGTGCAAGTGAAGTGTCTGGCTCGCTTTTCAGTTTCCTATTTGTGTGGTGTTACTGTATCTGAAATACTGATTGGCGATATCGCCGTGTGTTAGCTTTGTCAAATTGGCATTGCCAGAGGGCTGGGCTTCCATTACCATTAGTCACCGGGGGCAGCCGCATTTGACCTGGTCGGGATTCTTAGATGCCCAGCTTCAGATGCCGGCGATTCATTTAATGCGGTTCCGGAATCTATTTTCCCTGGCTGACGTATGCATTTCTGTAAGGAAAGAACTGGCGGAATCTGTTGGAGTCAATGGGTAGCTGCTGGCTATGAGGCAAGCATTTAAAAATAGATGGCAGCAAGATACCAGAGACGAAAGTTTTCGATTCGCGGCTGAGCATTAAAGTTGGGAGATCCGGAGTGGCTAAATCGGTTAATACCCTGCAAGACTGCAACGCGACAAAATGGATGCAACGAAATGTGGATTATGCGAATTTTGATCATCAAGGCATGCAATTCGAGTGTGTTTCATTGCATATTTGCAACTAAAGTACGTTGATGATTAATAACTCAAAATCAAAACCATTTTCTGCTACACCTGGTACACGTGTTCTCTAGAGTTCATTCCACCCTCGAATATTTCGCTATATTGCGGGCCACAAAAAATGTGAACAGGGATCCATTGAGGTATTTGCTCCATAGACTAAACATTGTAAAACAACTCCAAAGTGTAGGGTAAACCAATTTCTCAGCCTGACTATTCATTTCTCACTTCGCAGTCCCCAACCAACTATTGTAATTTAATATTTGCATGGCGCGTCTGTGGGACACAAGTATTATATATATATACATACACGTATGTATATATTTGGCTACATATACATATCGTACATATATGAGTTCCCCGGCATATGAGCAATTATTGTTTGACTATTGCATTGCGTAAATTTTGAAAATAGAAAAAAAGCAGCAAGAAAATACAAAAAAATTCACCCAACACCCATTAACAAATGGGGGAAATTCCTAAACTGTCGCAATTTGCCTTCTGAGTTATTGCAAAATGCAGGAGGCCGTGTGGGTGGACATACATATGTATATGCATACATAAATATGTAGATTTATATATCGTGTCATCATCCCGATCCCACTGAACACAAGACATACAAAAAGAGTAATGAAACATTGTTCACGCAAATCACGCCATAAAATGTGTTTGAAAACTGCATTTAAATGTTCCATTTAAGCGAAAAGCGATTATATGGCTTACAATATTGTCGCCAAGAATCGAAGATGATGATCCCATCGCAAAACTTAGTATGCAAGCCAATCGACTTCAATTTTTTTTGGGTAGGTCTCATTCCAAATTCAAGGCATCGATGGGCCCATCGATAAAGGTGATTTAAGTCATAGATATTCTTAGATTGTTCGACTTTGATGTTGCAAATGCAGGAAAGAGATTGAAATAAACTGATCGAGTTAAAATTCCATTTTATTTTGCACAGCCTATATATATTTATACTTTCAGAACGCATCACGCATCTTTTGCAAATTGTCAAATGTTTTGAAACTCCCCGTACAACTCTAAAAATCGATCTTTATGTTGTAGTAATCTTATGCCATTTGAAAGTCTCTGATTGATAGTCAAAACTATATACACATTTTCGAAGATGGTACAAAACGGGTTTAAACCAAAGGGTGAAACCTAATGGGTGAAACTTTTTTGAATTCAAAGTCAAACGATGGATGAGTTTAATCGGCCGAAAAGCTAAGGGGGCGATTTTTCAATTGACTGAATTGAGTGCCAATTACAGATCGATTGAGAGGCGACTTCTTTGCGTCCTAATCGTTAATCACAATCAGTGCGCGCGGAAATTGCTATGGTCTGTGGAAAATAAAAATATTAAAACATGAATATATTGACGATGCGGGTGACATCAGCTACTGTTCAGCAATCGGCTCCATTAATCTTAAACGCTTTTTTATTTCGGGGGAAATTAAAAAATGCCTCACAGCATTGGCGCAGATCGCGGTCGAGATATCCATGAGGCGTCTCCCCAATTTTGATGCATTAAGAACGAAGTTGCATCATCGTCGACTTGATTCGGAGCATGACGAAGTCGAGGGAAAACGAAGATAAATTAAAAAGAAGGCTCCCATTTCAATGGAAATCCACATCATTTCAATTCGTATTAATTGCTGCTGCTCAGGCCCAAATGGCGAAATAAATTAAAAAATCAATTCGGTATCGTGGCTGCCAAACGAACTGCCCAGTGGCTGCCAAACTGCGCCGAAGTCCGCGCCACACCAATTAATTAGTAAACAAAGCATAAGAGCAGCAATCAAACAAGCCAAAAAATGATGCATAATTATGCAAATTCGTTAATTTGCTATTGCCTTACGCGACTTGCATATATTTATGCTTTAATAAGCCCGCAAACACTTTGATTTTTCAACTCGATGCGGTTCGATTTTGGGATCCATTTGAATCTCT